TGGCATAGTTTCGCACGCGTACTAGAGTCACACAATTTGTTTCCAGTGTTATTCTGACTCTTGTTGTCTTGTGTTGGTCGTGCGAAAGCCGATCAGACTTGACGGCCCAGTGAAAACAGGCCAGGGTTGTGCGAAAGCCGACCGACTGACTGACAGGCCCAGTGAAAACAGGCCCTTGGTCGTGCGAAAGCCGATCAGACTTGACGGCCCAGTGAAAACAGGCCAGGGTTGTGCGAAAGCCGACCGACTGACAGACAGCCTCGTTCTTTTGTTTCTTGTGCTATTTGTGGACCTAGGGTTCTTTGCTGGATTCTATACTCATTGGTATAGTTTCACACGCAGCTTGCAATTTCCATAGGCTCCGATTTTTGTGATTCATTTTTTTATTTATTTCTTGGAGTTGTATCGACATCACCTTCGGATACACATGTCGAGGTTTTACGATTAAACGGCAAGAAACATATCCCAAGTTGAAGACCCAACAAGAAGAGTTCTAATTCCTGTATTCCAGTTTGTTCATTGACATTTACATTATTATAGAGTTCATTAGTTCAATTCCTTTTATTTACTTCCGTCGATTAATAAAATTGTTATCGAATATTTTTTTCGCGTTCGTGTGTTACTCAGTAAAATCATATAATTCGAAAAGCCCAGTGCCACACAGGAATGGTCGAACTCACGATAAAAATATACACAAAAATTATTGTCGGACCATAAAAAAATTCCCTGAGAAAGATAGAGGAGGAGATTACCTCACACCACCAGCAGTTTTAATTGTTTAAAAATCTCCTCATTCATTTTAATTTATTATTTTAAAATCTCCGACAATTGGCGCCCAACGTGGGGCTTTGTCATCCTTTGAAAACCTCCTCTTATCATTTTAATTTATTATATTTTAAAATTTCCGACAATTGGCGCCCAACGTGGGGCTTAGTCATAATTTGAAAACCTCCTCATTCATTTTAATTTATTATTTTAAAATCTCCGACAATTGGCGCCCAACGTGGGGCTTTGTCATCCTTTAAAAATCTCCTCATTTTAATTTATTATTTTAAAATTTTCCGACAATATATATATATAACACTATAGAACAATTTAAAAATTAAGATATCACTGTAACAAAAACAAAAATGTTTTGAGTTTCTTTCTGAAGCATGTCATGGTCAACCCAATGTCCCTGAGCGAAGCCGGCAGACCATTTCAGATAGTCGGTCCTGAAACAGCAAAGCTTCGTGAACCAATACACAAATTTGTAGCAGGAACAATCAACCGATTCATATCAAATGATCTTATATAAATTCCGGTCGGACGTGGCAAATCATTGTTGATCTTATCCTGCAGATACTGTGGAGCACTACCTCTGAGTACCTTATATATCAAAATAGAAATATTGTAAATTATTCTCTTATCAACAGTTAGCCAGTGCAAATCTTTAAGTATAGGTGTCACATGATCATCCCATCGACCGCACGATTTTGCAAAGACTGCAATACACGGATGGACTTGTCCGGCAATCCATAATACAAACTGTTGCAGTAATCAACTCTCGAGTGAACAAATGCATGAGCCAGCGTCTGAAGCGTAGAGACGTTCAATGGTCCACGAATTTGATTCAATTTTCTAATCTGATAAATGCAATCTCTTGAAACCCTCTTGATATGGTGCTTCATTGTTAGATTCGAATCAAAAATCACACCCAGATTAGTCGCATTGTTACAAAATAAAATTGTCTCTTCATCAACTGTGATCGAGTTTATCTTCAATTTTGACAACTGCTGCCACGTTCCCACCGGCAAAAGTTTAGTTTTATTTCAGTTTAATTTCAAGCCATTTTGCGACAACCATAAATCAACAGCTGACAAGCATTCTACAAATTTTTTCATTTCCAACGGGAATGAATCTATTGTACTGTTACTTATTATTTGAATATCGTCCGCAAAAGCGTGACTTGTCAACCCAAATGATTCAACTACGTTAAATACCTCTGACGTATAGAGCAGAAACAACAACGGGCCAAGAACCAACCCCTGTGGCACACCAAAGACCACCCCACTGACATCAGACCTCTTACCTCCAAATGATACTTGCTGAGATCTACCAACCAAATAAGATTTCATCCATTCTAACACTCCATCAGAAAAACCAAAACCATATTGCAATCTATCTAAAAGAATCCTGTGATCAACACAATCGAACGCCGCACTCACATCAAGGAAAGCCAGGAGTGATATCTTCTGTACATCCATTGCTGAACAGAGATCTGAAAAAACCTGCAACAGCGCCGTCGCTGTAGAATGGCACTGTCTAAAGCCAGACTAATGAACAGGCAACAAATGGTTACTCTTCAAGTGATCCAGTATCTGTTTAGCAACCAACCGTTCAATAAGCTTAGAGGTAAAACAGAGATTAGAAACCGGTCTGTAGCTGCTGATTTCACCAGAATCGAGATTATTTTTTTTCAAAAGAGGACGCACAATTGCATGTTCACACCCCCCAGGAAATTTACCAGTTTTCAAAGACAGATTAACCAAACTTGTCAAAAAAGGAGCAAACAGATTAACATGTTTCTTAATGATGTCAGTTGGAATAATATCTTGTTGACACGATTTTACCGTTGATTTCTTAACTACCATTATAACATCATCATTAGTAACCTCTGAAAATAAAGTAAAAGTATTTCTGATTACAAACTCTGAACAGATGGAGCCCAGACATTCCAAAATTTTTGTATCCTGCTTCACCTTCAGTAACTTCTCCGCAAAAAAACCCAAAAATTGATTAGCAGACAACGCATTAATATATATATATATATATATAAACATATATATATATAAACATATATATATATATATATATATATATATATATATATATATATATATGTTTGCCCCCAACTAAAATCTGAAATGCCGCCCTGCCTACAGCTAACTAGTACAGGTAAAGAAATTTGATGGGAAAGCTAATGCAGATTCTCAAATTCTGCGGGGATGACAACGATCCAAGGTTCTCAAATTTAGTGATGACAAAGATACAGACCGCTTGAATGTGCAACGAGATATGTTGCCACAAATTTAAACAAAATCAGATCAATCTGTTGAAAGCATAAATGATAGTTTCAGTTATTTGAAAAAGCCGTCGCATCTAATTAAACTTTTTTCGGAGTTGGTCAAGTTTTTGAACGTATTTGTAACCATTCCAGCGACTTCTGTCAAACCTAGAAAGTCATTTTGGGGCTTAGAAGATTAAAACCTACTTAAGCTCGACAATGAAACAAAAGTGACTCAATTTCGTGTCTTCTTCATTTTCGGAAAGATATGGCTAACGAAATATATTTAGATTTATTTAATTACCGACGAATTTTTTCACGAAATCATCAGAGAAAAAACACTTTTTATATGTAAACTCAAGTCCAAGTATGATCTTATAAAGAACAGTTAAGTGTTGTAAATACTATAATGAATAAAACGTTTTGTGTATTAGTTATCAACATTTTTAAAGCGCTTCTCTCGAAAATACTTCAGAAGCGCTTTCTATAGTGCACAGTGTTGAAATAATGATGCTTCAAAACTTTCTTTAATAGTTTTCATCAGTGATAGAACCAGGAAGAGAGTTCCATAAATTAGTCACCAGACAGAAAATATCCGTCGTCCAAAATTTAAGGAACGAAATGACAGAACGACCAAATCCCCATGGTCTGACGACCTAAGATGGTGTCCGTGTACATTTGACACCAGCGTCAGTAATTCACTTGAATAAATTGGTGCATCACCAGTTAAACAGTCTCTAACTAAGAGCATTTTAAACTTAAGGGAAATCGCAGCCAATAAAGTTCTTCACGCTTGTACAGTCAGATGGAGTGAAACTTTAAAATGCCAAATACAATTCTTGCTGCTGCGTTTAATACTGATTGAACAGAGTCCTGTAGGAAATAATTAACTCCAAATATGATCCAGTTGGAAAAGTCGATTCTACTGCAGACAAAACTATGCACAAGTGTTTTTGTTGACTCCATAGAAAGGAAACGTCTGATAGTCTGATTCTATGTAATTGAAAGAAACATTTCCGACAGATATTTTTTACGTGTTCTTCCACTGACAAACGTGAATCCACTACAATACCAAGATCGTTCATCAGTGATGTGAAATTGTTCAGTAAACTCAATCTTTGCGGAGCACCTAGCCAAATGTGTTGTGTCTTCTTAACTATTTCCATTAGGACTAAACCTTTGTTGCTTTGGTGTATACTAAAGTTTTAAATTCACTTTTAGTATTTTGTATTAGTACGTCTAGAAATGGTGGTTTATTATCAGTTGTTTTTTCAATTGTAAACCCTAATTGTGATGAATTTAGTCGCTGCAGAAGTTATTCTATTTGATCATCTTCATGTTTTTATAGAACATTCCATTTTGTGTAAGGTCAGACGTATGATAAAAACACGCTTAAAACACACACAATATTATTGAAATTACAAGAAAAATCCTGGACAACAATACCAAAATAATATACTGTAATTCCAGCCATTCCCATCTGAAATTAACCGAAGCTATTCCCATCGACATAAAACAACCCCTGAACAAACGACAAAAGATTTCAACAATACTCCCGACAAGAAGGACAATAATAAAATACACTTTTACCGCCAATGGGATCAATGAAGACACTGAAGAAAGTAACATCAACCAAAGTGCTATCAAAGAGCAAGTAAATGATACCAATAAAATTAGCACAATAAAACATAACACCAAAGCAATTGAACATAACACCGAAGCAATTAGCCCAAACAGAGAAATCATATCAATTAGTAAAGAAGACTAAAATTAACAAAGTCACTAATAACAATGAATGCAAATCACAGGAACAAAATTCCCTATATAAGCTGCAACAAGTACTGGGTTAGAGGCTGTCCATAAAGGATGTCACGCTTTTTTAACGTTTTTTTGACTCCCCCCTCCCCTGTGTTGCAAACTGTCACAAATCGACCAACCCCCAAAAATAAGCATGTCACAAAACTTTACCCCCCCCGACGTTTTGTTTGCGAGTCTGTTCTTGAACTTTCACGTGTAACGTCTTTTCCAGATTTTTCTTCTTGTTTTCACACTCCTTTAACTGTTCAGACTGCTCAATAGACAACATGCCAGAAAATTTTCGTTTGTAAAGATCATTTAAGTCGTTATTTATTATGTCAATCATGGTCCTCAACTTGTCCTGCACAGGCGTTTTGAAAGCATAATTTTTAGAAAGTGCTTTAGATGAACATTGTAATTGTTCGTCCACAGTGTCTTTAACTTTAAGGATGGCATTTAAATTTGACTCCTTTTTTAATTAATATTCATGAACTATTTGCTCGCTTGAAAACTTTAATTTTCATTTATGCACATTTATATGAAAGAAAATTTATTTATTGTTTGTTTATCTAAAAAAATGGACGTCACACTAGCGTTTACCCTCACTCCCTATCGTCACTAAGTGTCACAAATATTTGGACCCCCTCCCCACACTTGAAGCGTGATTTTTATGGACGGCCCCTTATACAAAATGTCTATATAAACTGCAACAAGTGCTGAAGATGATTGAAAAATTGAAATAGGTCCTTTACACTCGAGAATGAATTGAAAAACTGTATATTATTCTAACTTTAATAAAATAAATAATGACAACATCAATTTGGCTAGAAACAATGAGAAATATAATAAAATACTATCCAACGCTAGAAATTTGGTAGATTTCATAAATTTCTGCAAATATATATATATACATGTATATATGTATATGTATATATATATATATATATATATATATATAAACAATGTTGACAAAAATGTAAATAGAAATGTAAATGTGCAATGGTTCAAAAACATATACGACTAGTAAAGGATAAACTACAAAAAAGCAGCAATTACATTAAGTTATTAGACTTAAAAAAAATTTCTGGTTAAATTAGTTTGAGAAAATATGTTACAAGATGAAAGAGTATGTTAAAAGATGAATGATGGAAAAACTTAAAAGCTGATATGAAATGTGTTAAGATCAACTGCCTAGGAATCGATGGTAGTTCCAAGGACAAAAACATCAAGTATGCACCTTCTTCTTGGTCTGGCTTTGCTACATAATAACTTCAACAGCTATCATTAAAAAATTAATTTGCACCGACCATCTACTTTTATAATACCTTATATCTCATATATTCAACACACTTAATATCTGATAATTTAAGAAAATATAAACTGTTACTAATGTATTGTTCATGCCATTCATTCTATACTACCTAGCTATTGCTGCCATTCAAAACTACCATTTTAAAGTCCAAGTATAAATTTTTCTTTTTCGCATTTGTTTCTCTCCAAGGTAAGACGTAAGATAGGGGTTTTGTTTTAGATTTTATTCAGTTTAGTTAGTTAGAGTTAGATTTTATTTTAAGACTGTTAGTTAATACATGGGCAGATTAAAATTTGATGCTTGAATACCATATGATCATGATGCTTAGCTTCAAATATAAAGTTAAAAAAACAGAAAGTAAAATACTGCTAATAATATTCTAAATTATGGATTTTTAATGAGTAATTGTAAGTAAGAGTAACAGTAGCAACTAAAAAAAGTAATGGTAATCTGATTTAAAAGTGCCAGTGGCATTCTTTTTTTAATTCAATAATAAAACTAGTCTATTTTATTTAAATTTATAATATAATTTAATCAATGCAATAATATTTAATCATTTAAATTAATTTAATTAATTTTTAATTAATAGATGAAAAATTAAAAACTAAAAAACCGAAATGAAAAACAGCGAGTAAAAATATCGGCAAATACTGAAATACATTTTTTTATAGAATAAAAATAAAACTTTAAACAAAAATTATGTAATAATTAAGTTATACTGTTAAGTGTACTGTAAAACCATTAATTACCTCTAATTCAATGCGACACCTAGCGGCTGGATAGACGAACGAAACGTAACCAAATCTTACGCAAGTTTACATTAAAAAATGCGCAAAAGAAACGATCGGTTTTTGACACATATTATTAACCTGACCCAATTTCAAGGTTTTAAACTCAGAAAATATCGTTATTTCGGTCGAGTATTTTCGGTAGTTATGAAAATTTTTAACTTGATATATTATGTACATATACATATATATATATATATATTTTGGGTTTAGACTATCATAAATACAATTATTTATAAAGATCATTGTGTTTTCGGCATTTTCGCTAAGTTCATCAGTGACGACGCATTTAGACCATGTCCTTGATAGAAATTTTGGGTTTAGACTATCATAAAAACAATTATTTATAAAGATCACTGCTTTTTCGGCCAAATATATATATATATATATATATATATATATATATATTAGGAATGCACCGAAGTTCGGCCCCGGCCAAAATCCGGCTTTTTTTTTCAAATCCGGTCAGGGCCGGATTTGGTGGCCGGATTTAGGGCCGGATTTAAGCGTCTATCAACTTTTAAAAATGTTAGAAATAGAAAAAAAATTTTATGTCAATAAGTTAATGGCTAAGGCTAAGCTAAAGGCATACGCGACACATAATAACAACATCACTAATTGTGAGGTGATCTAGACAATTTTCTTTATGCTATAATATGGGTTATGCATAAATTATAAGCTGATCTTTGTGTAAAAGAACTTGTGCACGTGTATATACTATATATTGATAATTGCTTACAACGGATCATATAGCTACATAATATATATATATATATATATATATAAAGATATATCTATATATATATTTAGAGAGAGAGAGAGGGAGAGAGATACATAAGCACATAATTTAAGAACATGGTATGTTAAAGGTTAGGTATATATGACACATAATTACAACATCACTAATTGTGCGGTGAGCTGGACAATTTTCTTTGTGCT